ATTTTTAAGGTACTCTTTTATTTTGAGTCAATACAGCTATTTCTAGGCAGAAGAATGCAATACATGGTTCTTGTTCTATTACAGAAATCAGAATCCTGACGATGTCCTTCATAGGAGGAGAGATGATATAAAATCTGAGGAGTTATGTAGTATACTTGTAACTCTTTCACCAAGTAGGGTAGTTAGAAAAATGTATATATACCTAATATTTGTGATACTTCCTCCATTATGGCCCACATAAAAACTGATAATAAAGATATTATGTCCAATTACAACTGAAAATAATATTTTTTAAAAAGCTGATAACCAGAAATGTAACTATTACATATTTTGAATAAATATTAGTGCAGTAAACAGATATTATGGAATTGGCCAAGAATGATTCCATTTTTAAATTTTTAAAATTTTTAAAAAACAAAGAAAGGGTGACTTCCATCCTACAATTTGCAGCTTCATAAATTATTTAATTTACTTATATAAATCTGGAAGCATATCTGCATTTAAACTATTTTCTAATTATATGAATTAAAATTTAAATTTGCTAGAATTTTTTTTGGAGGATCTTATTAATCAGAAATCCCAGTCTAAATGTTATTTCTAACTTGGATAAGCTCAAATTTTCTATTGCTGGATCTATTCCTTTACAAAAGTGCTAAATTAATTTGGTTAGTTATCTTTTTTCCTTCTGTGATTATAATTAATGTCTCATTAGAATGACATCAATATTAAGGTGGATTTTGTTAGGCAACCTTCTTGTAACATTCACAACTGTAGCCTTTTTGTAGCAGAGAATAGCGTGCTTCTTACAACATAAAAAACCATAACTACACAGCAACAACTACATGACCATCTCATAAAAAGACCTGTTGACCTATTTTCTATGATTTTTCCATTCTTTCTTGACCACCAGTAGAAGGTAGAATAGACAGCCTCCAAGCATTTTTCATGAAGACTTAAATTCAAGAAAGCCTGCTTTAAAAGTCTCCAAAACCAGTTAACTGCTCTTTATTAGCGGCAGAGCACCAAGAAATGGTTAAGAAAGGGGACAATGAACTCTGTTACTTAGTTGGTAAACATCTAACGTCACCATAACTATTTACAGTTCAGTTTCCTCTACCATATGTTAATAATAACAGTATGTTTTATAAAGTTAAAAATCATATAAAACACTGCACTTAGAATACTCAAGTACTCATCAAATGTTATCTATGATTATCACTGTCTTTATTTTCAAGGTTACAAATACTTTGGTAATCTATGTAATACTATAATACTGATATGTTGACTTCCAGTATTTTATCAATTTAAAGAGGAAGAGTTTAAATTTAACACAAAAGTCATGGGCTGTGGTTGTGGCGCAGCAGCAGAGCACTTGCCTACTAAGCATGTGTGAGGCACTGGGTTCAAGTCTCAGCACCACATATAAATAAGTAAAATAAAGATCCACTGACAACTATAAAAAAAAAATTTAACACCAAAGGCAAACACAACAAAAACTCATTAAGTATTTCTACATATATTTCAGCTTTACCATATGACCTTAATATGAACTATTTAAAATTGAGTTTATAAAGGAAATTATTTGCATCTCTGCCACATATGCAGACTAAGATACTTTCGTTATTATTTTTGAAAAATATACTGTAAAAGAAACAGCTTATGCATGCATGAGAGTATACAGGAATGTTTTCAAATWCTATGTGAAGAAATGTTATATTCTCTAGGGGAACACAGGTTTTAACAACTGCAATATTTAAAATGTTCATAAGCAGCTTTACTAAGATTAGAACTAAGCGGAGATCAGAAAAATGTTCCTACAGGGAATTACAATTTGAAACACAGCAAGTGGAGAAAACAACAGAGCTAAGACTAACCAAAAAATTAAGGATCTAAACACTTGTCACTTGTCACACTTTAAGAATTCCATTTTTCTTAAAAAAAAAAAGTAGCGTCCCCTTTTATCTGTATCAAATTTATAGCATAAAATGTGTTTTATATACACTACTTTCATTTATTCTGTCCAACACTGTTATAACTTAATATATTTTTATAGATTAAGAAGGCAAGGCTCTGAAAGTTAATGTGATTTGTCAAAAACCCCTGTTAGAAAGTGACAAGTCACGAATTTAAACACAGGTCATCTCTCACATTTCAATATTCTTTCCACGACTTCATAAAACTTTTTTTTTTTAAGGTACCAGGAATTGAGCCCAGGGGCATTTTACCACTGAGCCATGTCCCCAGACATTTTTATTTTTTGTTTTGAGACAGTCTTGTTAAATTGATGAGGCTGGCTTTGAATCTGGAATCCTCCTGCCTCAGCCTCCTAAGCATTACAGGCCTGTGCATAAAGTTACTTCTGAAAGAGAGAAATAAGCATCTCACAGGAAAACAAAAACAAAACAAAAAAAAACCTCTAGGCAAAACCACACACTGTTTAAACTAGCTGCAGACAGTTTTACAGGGTTAAAAATTACCTGACTTTAGACTAGCTGTAAGTGATTTTACCTTGCCAGCTTATATTTTCTCATCTGTAAAATGAGGGACATGTATTAGAAAATTTGAGGTCTGTTCCAGATCCAAGGATAAATCTCCAGGACTCTACCATTACAAAGCAAAGGCATTTTACAAACACATGCTGTTAGCAACAAATTACAAGTCAAATAGTAGTGTCAACAGTTTCTCAAGCAACATATGGAGATATCTTCAAGGTTATGAGATAGATGTTTACTACCATATTCTTAAATTTATATGCATAAAGCAGTCTAGCCTCTATTCTCCTTTTAAAAGGACTAAAATGGGGGCTGGAGTTATTGCTCAGTGGTAGAGTGCTTGCCTAGCATGCAGGAGGCACTGGGTTCAATCCCCAGCACCATATAAACAAACTAAATAAATAAAAGTATTGTGTCCGTCTACAATTTTTAAAAAATTTAAAAAACAAGACTACAATGTTCTTAGAACATTAAAAATTGTTTTAAATTTTAACTACTGATCAGCTAATATCAAGAAACTGAAAAAAATTACAATTATTCTTAATACTTTTGAGAATAAAAATCTCTTTCCCTAGGAAGTGTTTCCAAATATACCAACTGACTACCATTTCTCCACTCTACTTAAGATACGAATCAGTCACATTTTCCAAAAACTTCTAAAGGGAAAAAAGTTAACACTGGAATTTGGATAAACATCTTCCTTTTATATTCATACTGATTGGAGACTTGTCTCCAAATTATTTTCTCGGTTATTAAAGAAAGTAATACCAGACACAGCAAAACATATTTTCAGCTACTGAGTTCTTTCCTTGTCCGAATATTTGTTTTCTTTACTCTTCGTGGAATAAACATCCAGAAATTTTCATTTGTCCAGCTCTGCTTAGTTCATAAAACTATTCTAACTACAAATTCGAAATGACTATAAGAAACCATAAGCGATTAATACTAAATACAACCTATTTTCAGTGCAAATTTTCCTTCCACTTAACACAGTAGGTGTTCCTTCATTTTAACAACTTTCCTGTCTCTAAAATAGAACACATACCCTGAATAGTTAAGCTTAACCCGAGTCAAGCTATCTGAAGAGCTTTAGAAATTTAGTGCTTATATAAATTATAAAAGATTCTTAAATTGTAAAACCTTTCTTTCCATATCTATAATCACCAGGAGAAACATTTCAAATATTTATAGGTTTTTGCTTTTAACCCCAATTAAGGACTATTCTCCACAAGATTAGTTAATATAACGTCTTCATCTTACATAGTCGACACTATCTCATTTTGCTTTTAAGCCACTTGGCACCAATAAAGCACATGTTCTGCCAATTCTGAGCTAATCTCCAGGAAAGCCTTTGTATAAGGATTGAAGAAATTGAAACAGATCAGTGCCCAAGATTTTTAACTACCTACCTGGGCATAAGAACAGTTACTTTAGTCAAAAATAGCCATTTTACTATGTCGCCTTCCTTTATTAATAAAACGGACTGTTAATTATAAAGAATTCATAACTGAGAACACGGGTTCACTTCAATTTCAGGATTAAAAATAATCTCAAAGCGTTACAGATCACTAGATCTGTACATTTCACCCAACTTCGAGGTGTACCCACGAGTGTCCAGTGGAAATCACAATGCCGACACATACACTGCTTGAAACGTTTCCTAGTTTCAACTAGTGCAATGTCGTTCATTTCCCATGCCGAACAGTTTCTTACTGTGATTATTAAAACAGCTGTCAGCTAAGCCTCAGTAACCTCTTTGTACAACCGTTTGTTCAGCGCTTTGGGATCGCGAGGATGCGTCATCCCACATTACTCTTCAAAATGAGATCCAAGAATCCGACGTGCTCCAAGGATCTTTGAACCTTATTCCAACCGGCGCTTGAACAACGATGAAGAGACCTGAATGCCCAATGCGGCAAGGGCAGATTACGCCCAGGCAAAACTGCAGTGTGGTTCCTCTCCTTTCTCTTGAACTACTAGAGTACAATTTCCCTCCTCGATTCCACCCACCCATCGCCAGGTCCGCTGTACCTCCGACGGCCCTTGCCAAAGGGTCTGTGGCCACTCTTAGGCACCCGCGCACACCCCGCGGGTGGCAGCGAGAGCGCGCGGCAGCCGGCGCGCCTCCGTCCCGCCCCACCCCGCCAGTCCGGCCGCGGCACTCCGGCAGCGCCCTCTCGGGCCGCGCACACTCGCACGCACAAGCTCCGCCGGCCCCGCCATGTTCCGGGAGCGGCGGCTAGGGACGCCAGCGCCAAGCCCCACACCCCGCCCGCCGCCCCCCCGCCCTCCACCCGGCTCCGCCCCGCCCCAGGCGGCGCCCCCGCCCAGCTGGCAGCTCCCACCAGAACCGCGGATCCTCAGGAGGCCGGGAGGGGCCACAGGCGGGCCCGGCGAACCCGCGCCGGGCCACTAACGGCCTGTCACTGTCAGGCCGCGTCGCCTCGGGCCAGGCCCGGAGGCGCGCAGCAGACTCTGTGGTGTGGGCAGGGCAAGGCGCAATCCTACCTTGCTCTGGGGAGGGGAGACGGGAGCAGCGCGGAACCGAAGGGTCTCCTCCCAGGCGCCAGGGACAGGCTCGAAACCGCGCCCCTCCTTCCTCTTCTCCTGTCGCCACGCCCCCCTCGCCCGCACGGACCCGAGGCTCGGCGGGCACAGGAGGGTTTACCCCCTGAACGAGTGACTCCGCGTGACCGTCGCTGTCGTTGTCTTCGTCGCTGCTGCAACCGCCACTGACGCCGTCGGGACTGGGCTTGAAAACATCTCCGGTCTCGGTCCGTCTCTCACCACAGCCTCCTCGCTCCCAGTACAGCGTCGACCAGCGATTGGCTGTGGCGCGAGCACGTGACTCCCGCTGACACGTGACTCTTGTGGGCACGGGACGGACGCCGTGATGGCCCCGCCCTCTAGCGCCCGCCCCTCTCCAAGCTCTTTTGAGAGGCTTCTCTAGCCGCAGGGCTGGGGAGGAGGATCGTACCAACTGGAGGCGGCGGGGAATGCGGGCCGGAACTCCTCCGTGCTGGTCGGCTTCCTCTCCGCTGTCAATGGCCCGGGAAGGGAGGAGGAACCAAAGGTTGGAACAGAAAGCAGCGCAAATTCCTTTGACACTGCGGGGAAAGCGGACTCAGTCGTCGCCTTTTGCGGCGACCATAGCAGTAGCTGTGACTGGAAACTTCTGGGAATGGTGGCGGCCATGAAGAGGCTTCATATAGGGTATTTATATGTTATTTCTGCCGTGGGAGGATGGACGAGGTAGGAATTTGGACCCGGGCAAAACAACACTTCGATCACCAGGGCGGGAACTTAATGGCTTAAGGTCCTGGCTGCCGGGAGCTCACCTCGCAGTGCGGAAAGTGGGGCAGACGGGGGCGCGCTTGCCTGGGCCGCAGTGCACCTGCGCCTGGAACTCTCCGTACCCTGCGTTAGGTGGGCTCAAATACCGAAAAAGTCCAGTAGCGTGTACCTGCCAGCGGGGTCCCGAGGCTTTAGAATATGCCTTCTCCCATCCACACCTTCCAATGATCTTTTTAACAGGAATTTCAGTACATTTTCAATATGTGGTATTGAGGATTTCAAAGATACAGGAGAAGAGTGCCTGAGAATTTCAACGTCTCAGCACAGCAGTAGTGTGTTAGCTCTTCTGGCTGCTTTTTACCCAAGTAGAGATTGATCTGCAAGTTTGTATATGCCTTAACTACCCAAGGAGTATACAGGCAACAAGAAAGGATCTTTTGTTCCCCGTAATGTTAACTGTTGTCTCAAAACCTCAGCATCCTATTTGTTGCCTTAATGAGTGTAGTTACAGGGTTTTTAAGACTTCCTTTATGAGTTTCCTAGAGTTTAGATGTGATATTCAAACTCGAGGGAAAGCTAAATTTCACCAAATTACTATATAAAATACAAGCCCGCGTTATAGAGAGATTTTCCCCTCCTTTTCTACATTCATTTCTCCCACCTATAAAAACAGGTTCAATATGAAAAAAAAATGAAGCTAGGCGTGGTGGCACTTGCTTGTAATCCCAGCAAGCCGAGATGCTGTGCCAGGAGACTGGCAAATTCGAAGCTAACCTTGTCCATTTGGCCAGACCCTATCTCAAAATTTAAAAATAAGAAAGGCAGAGGATGTAGTTCAGAGGGGAAGTGTCATTGGATGCCTCAAATAATAAATAATGAGTAGTCAGAGCACCTTATGTCTAGAGATGGAATGGTGTTACATTTGAGTTATTTATGGTATACAATACAAAGTTGCTCATAATACCATTAAGAGGATTCTGATGAAAGGAAGATATTTTATGTTATGTCATGTGGTGCTTAGAAAATTACTGTTATTGATATATCCTCTCAATTAAAAAAAAACCTAATTTTTAAAGAAAACAACGTCTGGAAGTGTAATTCAGTTGTACAGTGCTTACCTAGCATGTGGGAGTCCTTGGGGTTGTAAAAGAAATGAAATTTTAGGCATCATAATTACTAGTGAAAGTATATTCTGTTAAAAAACAAGACCAAACAGTGACTCTGATAAATCCTGAAACAATCTGATTAAATTTGACCTTGTAAAGTTGGCTCTTTTCTCAATTTGCAAAACGAATGTACTATATAGCTAACTTCTTGAATTGGTCATAATACACAACGGTTGTATTCTTACTTCTAAATTATAATATCCATAAACTAAGCAGTAAATTTTGCAGGTGCACCAATCTTTCAAACTCATGATTATACATCCAGTTTTCTCCCCAATTACTTTTTGGGTGAAGAACATTCTAATACTTGCAGTATCAATGTCAAAGTGTTTTTATTCCTTTCTTTTTAAAAGTGATAATGGTTGTAGACAAAACTACCTTATTCCTACACTGTGCTTGAACTAGTCTTAAGTACCAGTTGGAAAAAAATATATATTTGTGTGCTGTAAGTATTAAAATAATTGAAGTACTGACATAAATGTAAGTTTATAGAAAGATAACGTTAACTAAAACATAATTGTGGTTAAAGATGGGAAGGCAAAACATTTGAAATTTGATAAAATTTTTACTTCATAAAAACCTAATATTATTGATAAAATGTGATCTGGCAGTTGAAAGTGGGTGACAATGCAGTACGTGTTAACTTGATTATATAGTTAGCCATTTGCAGCAAACAATTCTTAAAATGGTGTTGTATTTTGACATAATATTTACAGCAAGTTACTATGTTACTACAAAGATAATTCAGAGTAGAATAAGAAAATAGTTTATGTATATAATATTTTATTTTTGCAATAACATATTTACAGTTGATTATAAATTAAAGGCCTGCTTGCACACCAAAGCCAGGTCCTTTGGGTGGTTCAGTCAAAGAGGTAAGACCTCCAGCTGGCTCACAACAGAAACGTCCACTCCTGGAAAGACACAGTAACATTAAAGTAACTATAAATGACGAACATTTATAAATTTTTATAAGGTTATAAATTTACTATAACATTTTTTTCTTCCTAAAGATAAAGACCATATCAAAACTCATCACAAATATGAAAAATACATAAATAGCACTGAGTTTCCATCTAGTGAGCAGTGTGTATATATTAGCTTACCTAATCTTTACAATGAGATAAGTGATATTGGCTTTATTTTACAGATACACAAAGCAAGGTTGGTAGTATTCATCATCTGTCCAAGGATCAGAGCTAAAAACTATGGCAAAAATAGCTCAACCCCAGAAGACATTTTTAAACTACACTTTAATAAACTAGGCTATTACATTTCTTCTTTAACACTTTCCAGATTAACATTCACTGTCACAGTGAATCGAAAGAAAGCACACACTTGTACACTGCATTTGGAAATAGAAACTGGATTCATGAAGAAATCTGCACAACTGGGAGGATGTCCCTTAGAAGCAGTGAATCTTAAATATATTTGTAATTGGTTTTTAAAGGGTATAATTAATAAGAGTTTTTAAGTTTCTAGACTAGGACGGCCACTAACAGCCACAAAAAGAAAACAAGAACAGGTCCTAATGCAGAGGTAGTGAAGTGAAGGGCTGGATATAGCTCAGTGGTTGAGCACTTTTCTAGCAAGTACAAGTCCCTGGGTTTGATTCCCAGGGGGTACGGGGCAAGAGTAAAAAGGGCAGAAGAATCCGTCTTTTTCATCTCCACATACACATTTCCAAGTAGTTGCTTTCCTCTATCCTATTACCTCTGTAGCTGGAGTCCATTGCAGTACCTCAATCACTACACACTGTTTTCCCTTTCTCCATTCCCTGGCTTTGCTAATTTACATTGTTCCTGTCACAGATTTTAGTTGAAAACTTTACCTAATCTTTTTAATTCCTTCTGGCTTTGCCCCTCATATTCTTTCATCAATCCTATAAGTCTATTCTTTAGGGCCCTAGGATATCACTTTTTGTTGACAAGAGAAGAAAATGACATAATAAGCACATAATACAAGGAATTAAGTAACTTATACTAATGAACAATGCCTACAAAATCAGAAATCAGTATACATCTGCATTATAAATTTTTTTTATTTACTATGAAAAATAAATCAAAAAGCAGTCACTGGTTTGTACTACCTGTCAGAACCTTATGTAGGTTAAGTAGCAAAATGATTTTAACTTAAAAAACAAAAAGCAATACAAGAATTATTTGGCTTTTTATTTTTCTGGTAATGGGGATTGAGTGCAGTAGGTGTTCTACCACTTAGCAAAACCCCAGCCCTTTTTTTGGGACTAGGTCTCCTGGATTGCCCCAGGCTGGCCTCACAATTGCAATCCTCCTGTTTCAGCCTTCTGTGTAGCTAAGATTAAAACAGTTGGAGATTACAGGCCCATACCACCTCTCATAGGTGGCTTTGTAATTTTTTTTTTTTTGGGGGGGGGGGGGGGGGGGGTGGGAATTGAACTCAGGGCACTCAACCACTGAGCCCCATCCCCAGCCCTATTTTGCATTTTATTAAGAGACAGGGTCTCACTGAGTTGCTTAGCAACTTGCTTTTGCTGAGGCTGTCTTTGAACCACAATCCTCCTGCCTCAGCCTCCCCAGCCGCTGGGATTACAGGCCTGTGCCACTGCACCCAGCTTGGCTTTGTACTTTTTAAATGTTAATTACTAATAGGTAAAATAGGTACACATGCTGCTCCTTAACTGCCAATGAAATTTATTTTGAGGGACTTTGGTCTCCCCTGTCATAAGATTTCTTTCTCTACCTACAACATTTTTCTTGTTAAATGTCAGAATGGAATGTGATTTAAATGTTTCATTTTAGAAGTCTACTAATAACTGAGCATTTGGTATCTTAAAACCTCTTACCAGTTTGGATATGAAATCTTTATACATTAATGAATTCCTTAATATTGATACATTCTTTATCAATACAAAGGATCAATTTAAGTAAAAAAACTGAAGTTTCTGGAACTATAAATGGGATAATTAATTATTTATACTTTCTAAGATCTTCCCAGAATTATGGAATTTTACATGTGGAAGTAATTTTTAAAATAATCTAATCCAAAGTTTCCTAAAGTTTTTGCCATGAAATTACAATCCCACAACATATCTAGAGGGGGGAAAAAGAGGGTCTTGTATGTCTGGCTGCAAAGTTTTTCTTTTTC